CTACTACGCTTAGCCGTTCGCCGGCTTCGTGATAGAGTCAACTAAAACTAGAAGTTACTATCGCACGGCAAGTGCCGCGTTAAATCCTTGCGAAATTAGACAATATGGAATGATTAACTTAATCTTTTCGAGCCAGTTTCAACATGGCAATATTTTCTTATACTTGTAAACGGATTTTGCACATAGAGGTATAAAAAGAATAAAAAATAGTCAGAATAAATAAAGGGAAAAAAATATTGTGAGTCTGCTACAAAACATGAGTTCAACTGGATTTGAACCCAAATGCTTATCGAGACAGGCTAAACGACATACCACTAAGCCATCAGTGGACGACTTGTAATACTGGTAAAATTAAAAACACAAGTACATTGTTGTGACCTGCTCATCTCATGAGGTGAATCTCATTTCGGGCAAAATGAAATAAAAATTGTTATAGACCGACAGAGAAAGGTTCAAAACGGATATTGATGCAGAAAGTTTTGGCACAGGGGAATTTTAATGCGCATTTATAAATAAATAATGCTTAGCCGTGCTTAGCCGTGTCTTAATATACTTTCTACTACGCTTAGCCGTTCGCCGGCTTCGTGGATCGACGTGGATCGTGTTAATTAAAACTAGAAGTTACCATCGCAAGGCAAGTGCTGCCTTTTAAACCAAATCAAATTTAGAAAATTTCGGGCCATTTTTCGGTTTAGATCGACTTAGAAATGTTCAAAACATTTATTGATGCAAAAAGTTTTGGTACAGGGCAATTTTAATGAGTATTTTGATATAAAAAGTGCTTAGCCGTCCTTAGCCGTGTTTTAATATACTTTCTACTAGCTTAGCCGTTCGCCGGCTTCGTGCATCGACTCAACCATAAACTAGAAGTTACTATCGCAAGGCAAGTGCTGCCTTTTAAACTAAAATCAAATTTAATAAATTTCGGGCCATTTTTCGGTTTAGATCGACTTAGAAATGTTCAAAACACTTATTGATGCAAAAAGTTTTGGTACAGGGCAATTTTAATGCGTATTTTGATATAAAAAATGCTTAGCCGTCCTTAGCCGTGTTTTAATATACTTTCTACTAGCTTAGCCGTTCGCCGTCTTCGTGCATCGACTCGACTATAAACTAGAAGTTACTATCGCAAGGCAAGTGCTGCGGTTTTAAACCAAAGTCAAACTTAGAAAATTTCGGGCCATTTTTCGGTTTAGATCGACTTAGAAATGTTCAAAACGCATATTGATGCAAAACGTTTTGGTACAGGGGAATTTTAATGCGCATTTTGATATAAAAAATGCTTAGCCGTGCTTAGCCGGGTTTTAATATACTTTCTACCACGCTTAGCCGTTCGCCGGCTTCGTGATAGAGTCAACTAAAACAAGAAGTTACTATCGCACGGCAAGTGCCGCGTTAAATCCTTGCGAAATTAGACAATATGGAATGATTAACTTAATCTTTTCGAGCCAGTTTCAACATGGCAATATTTTCTTATACTTGTAAACGGATTTTGCACATAGAGGTATAAAAGAATAAAAAATAGTCAGAATAAATAAAGGGAAAAAAATATTGTGAGTCTGCTACAAAACATGAGTTCAACTGGATTTGAACCCAAATGCTTATCGAGACAGGCTAAACGACATACCACTAAGCCATCAGTGGACGACTTGTAATACTGGTAAAATTAAAAACACAAGTACATTGTTGTGACCTGCTCATCTCATGAGGTGAATCTCATTTCGGGCAAAATGAAATAAAAATTGTTATAGACCGACAGAGAAAGGTTCAAAACGGATATTGATGCAGAAAGTTTTGGCACAGGGGAATTTTAATGCGCATTTATAAATAAATAATGCTTAGCCGTGCTTAGCCGTGTCTTAATATACTTTCTACTACGCTTAGCCGTTCGCCGGCTTCGTGGATAGACGTGGATCGTGTCAATTAAAACTAGAAGTTACCATCGCAAGGCAAGTGCTGCCTTTTAAACCAAATCAAATTTAGAAAATTTCGGGCCATTTTTCGGTTTAGATCGACTTAGAAATGTTCAAAACATTTATTGATGCAAAAAGTTTTGGTACAGGGCAATTTTAATGAGTATTTTGATATAAAAAGTGCTTAGCCGTCCTTAGCCGTGTTTTAATATACTTTCTACTAGCTTAGCCGTTCGCCGCCTTCGTGCATCGACTCAACTATAAACTAGAAGTTACTATCGCAAGGCAAGTGCTGCCTTTTAAACTAAAATCAAATTTAATAAATTTCGGGCCATTTTTCGGTTTAGATCGACTTAGAAATGTTCAACACGCATATTGATGCAAAACGTTTTGGTACAGGGGAATTTTAATGCGCATTTTCATATAAAAAATGCTTAGCCGTGCTTAGCCGGGTTTTAATATACTTTCTACCACGCTTAGCCGTTCGCCGGCTTCGTGATAGTGTCAACTAAAACAAGAAGTTACTATCGCACGGCAAGTGCCGCGTTAAATCCTTGCGAAATTAGACAATATGGAATGATTAACTTAATCTTTTCGAGCCAGTTTCAACATGGCAATATTTTCTTATACTTGTAAACGGATTTTGCACATAGAGGTATAAAAAGAATAAAAAATAGTCAGAATAAATAAAGGGAAAAAAATATTGTGAGTCTGCTACAAAACATGAGTTCAACTGGATTTGAACTCAAATGCTTATCGAGACAGGCTAAACGACATACCACTAAGCCATCAGTGGACAATTTGTAATTCTGGTAAAATTAAAAACACGAGTACATTGTTGTGACCTGCTCATCTCATGAGATGAATCTCATTTCGGGCAAAATGAAAAAAAAAATTGTTATTGACCGACAGAGAAAGGTTCAGAACGGAGATTGATGCAGAAAGTTTTGGCACAGGGGGAAGTTTAATGCGCATTTATAAATAAATAATGCTTAGCCGTGCTTAGCCGTGTTTTAATATACTTTCTACTACGCTTAGCCGTTCGCCGGCTTCGTGGATCGACGTGATCGTGTCAATTAGAACTAGAAGTTACTATCGCAAGGCAAGTGCTGCCTTTTAAACCAAAGTCATATTTAGAAAATTTCGGGCCATTTTTCGGTTTAGATCAACTTAGAAATGTTCAAAACACTTACTGATGCAAAAAGTTTTGGTACAGGTCAATTTTAATGCGTATTTTGATATAAAAAATGCTTAGCCGTCCTTAGCCGTGTTTTAATATACTTTCTACTAGCATAGCCGTTCGCCGGCTTCTTGCATCGACTCAACTATAAACTAGAAGTTACTATCGCAAGGCAAGTGCGGCGGTTTTAAACCAAAGTCAAATTTAGAAAATTTCGGGCCATTTTTCGGTTTAGATCGACTTAGAAATGTTCAAAACACTTATTGATGCAAAAAGTTTTGGTACAGGGCAATTTTAATGCGTATTTTGATATAAAAAATGCTTAGCCGTCCTTAGCCGTGTTTTAATATACTTTCTACTAGCTTAGCCGTTCGCCGTCTTCGTGCATCGACTCGACTATAAACTAGAAGTTACTATCGCAAGGCAAGTGCTGCGGGTTTAAACCAAAGTCAAACTTAGACAATTTCGGGCCATTTTTCGGTTTAGATCGACTTAGAAATGTTCAAAACGCATATTGAGGCAAAACGTTTTGGTACAACGGAATTTTAATGCGCATTTTGATAAAAAAATGCTTAGCCGTGCTTAGCCGTGTTCTAATGTACTTTCTACCACGTCTAGCCGTTCGCGGGCTTCGTGATAGAGTCGACTAAAACTAGAGGTTACTATCGCACGGCAAGTGCCGCGTTAAATCCTTCGAAATTAGACAATATGGAATGATTAACTTAATCTTTTCGAGCCAGTTTCAACATGGCAATATTTTCTTATACTTGTAAACGGATTTTGCACATAGAGGTATAAAAAGAATAAAAAATAGTCAGAATAAATAAAGGGGAAAAAATATTGTGAGTCTGCTACAAAACATGAGTTCAACTGGATTTGAACCCAAATGCTTATCGAGACAGGCTAAACGACATACCACTAAGCCATCAGTGGACGACTTGTAATACTGGTAAAATTAAAAACACAAGTACATTGTTGTGACCTGCTCATCTCATGAGGTGAATCTCATTTCGGGCAAAATGAAATAAAAATTGTTATAGACCGACAGAGAAAGGTTCAAAACGGATATTGATGCAGACAGTTTTGGCACAGGGGAATTTTAATGCGCATTTATAAATAAATAATGCTTAGCCGTGCTTAGCCGTATCTTAATATACTTTGTACTACGCTTAGCCGTTCGCCGGCTTCGTGGATCGACGTGGATCGTGTCAATTAAAACTAGAAGTTACCATCGCAAGGCAAGTGCTGCCTTTTAAACCAAATCAAACTTAGAAAATTTCGGGCCATTTTTCGGTTTAGGTCGACTTAGAAATGTTCAAAACATTTATTGATGCAAAAAGTTTTGGTACAGGGCAATTTTAATGAGTATTTTGATATAAAAAGTGCTTAGCCGTCCTTAGCCGTGTTTTAATATACTTTCTACTAGCTTAGCCGTTCGCCGCCTTCGTGCATCGACTCAACCATAAACTAGAAGTTACTATCGCAAGGCAAGTGCTGCCTTTTAAACTAAAATCAAATTTATAAAATTTCGGGCCATTTTTCGGTTTAGATCGACTTAGAAATGTTCAAAACACTTATTGATGCAAAAAGTTTTGGCACAGGGCAATTTTAATGCGTATTTTGATATAAAAAATGCTTAGCCGTCCTTAGCCGTGTTTTAATATACTTTCTAGTAGCTTAGGCGTTCGCCGGCTTCGTGCATCGAGTCAACTATAAACTAGAAGTTACTATCGCAAGGCAAGTGCTGCGGTTTTAAACCAAAGTCAAACTTAGAAAATTTCGGGCCATTTTTCGGTTTAGATCGACTCAGAGATGTTCAAAACGCATATTGATGCAAAACGTTTTGGTACAGGGGAATTTTAATGCGCATTTTGATATAAAAAATACTTAGCCGTGTTTAGCCGTGTTTTAATATACTTTCTACTACGCTTAGCCGTTCGCCGGCTTCGTGCATCGAGTCAACTATAAACTAGAAGTTACTATCGAAAGGCAAGTGCTGCCTTAAATTCTTGTGAAATTAGGCAATATAGAATGATTAGCTTAATCTTTTCGAGACAGGTTCAACATGGCAATATTTTCTTATACTAGTTGCAAACGGATTTTACACAGAGGTATAAAAAGAATAAAAAATAGTCAGAATAAATAAAGGGAAAAAAAATATTGTGAGTATGCTACAAAACATGAGTTCAACTGGATTTGAACTCAAAATTTTATCGAGACAGGCCAAACAATATACCACTAAGCCATCAGTGGACGACTTGTAATTCTGGTAAAATTAAAAACGTACACAAGTACATTGTTGTGACCTGCTCGTGTCATGAGGTGAATCTCATTTCGGGCAAAATGAAAAAAAAATTGTTATAGACCGACTTAGAAAGGTTCAAAACGCATATTGTTGCAGAAAGTTTTGGCACAGGGGAATTTTAATGCGCATTTTGATATAAAAAAATGCGTAGCCGCGCTTAGCCGTGTTTTAATTTACTTTCTACTACGCGTAGCCGTTCGCCGGCTTCGTGATAGAGTCAACTATAAAGTAGAAGTTACTATCGCGAAGCAAGTGATGCCTTAAATTCTCGTGAAATTAGACAATATAGAATGATTAGCTTAAGTTGATTATTTTAAGGCGAATATTAAGAAGAGAAAAGTACAAAAAGGGATTCTGGATGCGAGAAATCTACAAAGATAGGAAATCTGAGTAATCTCATTGGTTTATTCCAACCACGTGAGAATTCGAACGATCGCGCGAGTTCGCCTGGAAAGTTGAAAACATTTCAACTTAAATAGCGGTCCGCGAGCACCTGAAATTTCTGGTCTGAAGCGAGAAAAAATCGCACATCTAACCGCCTCTCCGGGCCAGGAAATTGCAACTGGCATCTAATGTGGTGGTACTTTACCTCTACTTTAGGCACTCCACAAATATGCTGGTGAAGGATTGGTAGATGTCGTCCAGAATTGGGGAAGAGGTTTGCCTGGAGACAACACACATTACTTCGGTCAGACGCTGAGCATTAACGAATGTGCCTATCGAAATATGTACAGAGTGAAGTACTTAGTGTACACTGACTTAGACGAATTCATTGTCCCAAGGAAATCATTAGGATGGGCCGAGATGATGAAAAAAATCGAGAATTTCAAATATGATACCTATTTATTTAGACATTCATACTTTTTCGAAAACTATAATAACACCACCTTAGATAGCTTACATGTAGGTGCAAGTCAAACCGAATTTACTTGCAATGGATCGTATCGCGTGGGATTACCCAAGTTTTTAACCAGCGTAATTCGTTTACGAAAAGTTCACCCTCCCAAAGAAAAGTCGAAATACATACTGAGACCTTTGTATAAGTCTACTATCGGCGTACACGAAATATTTGAGCACGTTGGAGACCATATTAAAACTTATGTTGTGCCTCCAGATTATGGTTTGCTGCACCATTATCGACTGCTCAGTGGTGGACCTAATCCAGTAGCGGCATCGACAGTTGACGATGTAAAACGTATCCCGGATGAACGCGCTTTTGTTTATAAAGAGAAAATTGTTGAAGCATTGAGAAGACGTTTGTGTCGTTGAAAATGTCTGTTAGAAGCAAGCGACCTGAAGGAATTAAAAGATGTGACTTTTCTTTATGCCTCATTTCCACTCTGACTTTCTTAAACAAAAGTCTGAGTTTTAGAGGGGCAAAACTGTGGAATAGCCTCTCAGAAGAATTAAGGACCAAGGATTCTCTTTATTCCTTCAATTCCAATTATATCAACACTCGTGGAAATTGGAAAAACTCGAAATTGTATGAAAACACAATTTCTCGTTTTCCCAATTTCCACTCGTGTTGATATAACTGTATGTCAGAACACGAAAAATGTTTTATATTTGTTAAATTTAAATATGTAGTGCATATTATGTAGTGAAGTATGATCTTACTTAATAACTCTAATAATAACTCTTAATAACTCTAATTACGAATACATTTTAAATAGTAGATTATATTAAATTACCTTTGTAAATAATCTAATACCTTAATAATTCAGCTTACTAGCTGCAAAAAGGTTTTTATTAAACAATCTATCTGTCTATCTAGGGTTTTAAGAGAACGAGGGCATCCGTTTACTCTCCCAAAAGTTAAAACTGAAAGTTTCAAACGGTCCTTTTTGAATAGATGTCTGTTTAATTAAGAACGATGCGCAGACAGGGTTCGTAGCGGTCTTTGAAATCCTTGAAAGTCTTTAATTTGAATGCAGGGCCAGGGCGGATCCAGCCAAAAATCTGACCGTAGCATATTCAAAGACCTCGCATAACTAGGGGGTCCGGGAGCTTCCCCCCTCCGGAATATTTTTGAAATTTGAAGCCCGGAAATGCCATTTCCTGCGTTCTGAGCATTGAATGTGACTGTTACTCATTTTTGAAGCAAAAATAAGATCTAAAAAAGTAAAAAGTACAATATCTCTGGCGTATATCTTAACATACGATATGCGTATGATAGCGTATCATACGTGAATACGCGTATCATCAGGAGGACGCTATAAAACACCTGTTTTACAGCGCCCTGGTATCATCATACGAACGCGCGTATCATACGAACGCGCGCGTATCATACGAATACGCATTACAAACAAATATTAGGGCGCTATAAAACACGATATACACGCGTATCATAATTCGCGTTTTAATTCCGATACATGCAGGTATACTGTACATACGCGCACAAACGCGAAGTTAATAGCGAACACTACAGTATAAACTCATATTAAACGATATTAAATTAATGTGCATCTCTTATTATTCATAAGGCTTACCTGACTGGAAATTATTCGTTTTACTATCTGATTTTATTTCTACCTCGACTTATGACGGCTTTCATTTCGAAATGCGCAAACCGTACTTGGATGCCCTTAGCATGTTGTTTATGAGCCAAACACAAATATCACTATATCAGATATTCCATCGCTCTGCCGGAGCAGTAGCCAATTTCAAGGGGGGTCCATATCAGCTAAAAGGGGTCCATATCTACTAGGAGATTTGGACCGGGGGATCCATATCTACTAGGAGATTTGGACCGGGGGATCCAAATCTACTGGGGGGTCCAAATCCGCTGTGACACCGGTATATAGTTTTAAAGCACGAAGTTGGTATTACAATACAACGGTAACTCCGAATAAAGTAAGCATTTTGATTCAACTTTTTCGACTTTATTTAGTCATCATCAGGAATCTGACTGACTTTATTCGGAGTTACCGTTGTATTGTATTTTATGAAAATACTCAGTGGTTCCCGCAAAGTTGGTATTGATATTTGTTGTTTGCAATTTGATGCCCATAAAATTACGGTAATTCTTTAAAGAATTTTCGAAGGGCAATTACGACCAATTTACTAACAATTAATGAGCATCGGGGGCTAGTTTTGCGGCACATGATAGGTTAAATTTAAATCCGTAATAGGTTGAAAGAAAATTTTAGTAAAGAAATGTATCTGTTTTCGTCTTTCGACTTTCTGCAAACTCTGTTTGCAAACTAATTTTAGACATGTGTGTCGAACCATGCAATGCCAATGGCAATGGCGTAGGGAAGATATTGCGCTTTCTGTCGCAAAATTGAAGAATTTATACAGCAAGAACGTTGAAACAAATTTGTTTCATATATGTCTATGGATCTTATATTCTGTGCTACAGCCAGATCAACTAACTACGAAGCCGTCTACCTCACAGTCTTCAAATACCGTTCCCTATGGGCTATAATTTATGTGCATTTTCATGGAGTATATATATATATATATATATATATATATATATATATATATATATATATATATATATATATATATATATATATATATATATATATATATATTACTCCATGAAAATGCACAGAAATTATAGCCCATAGGGAACGGTATTTCGGAAGAAAAATTTTGCATTTTGAAAGACATAAACAAAGACAATTTACTCAATAAAAGAGGCGAAATTTTCGGCAAATGTCGTCACAAAAACCACAGGGGGTCCAACTAAGAGCTGTGTTATGAATATGAATAAAACATTAATTAAGTAATATGAATAAAACATCATAACGTAATATATTTAAATTATTGCACTTACTTGTATAAATCATAAGAGCTTTTATTTGCAGTGAATAGCTTTTAACAGGGCGCTTATACACGCTCAGAAAATCGCTCAGAAACACTTGATTCGAACGATTGTTCAAATATGGC